AGTTAGACTCCAACCACAGCCATCTGGCCGCTGGGCTCCAGAGCCTCCTGGCAGCACGGCCGCCTTCCCCACCAGCAGTCTGGTGCCCAGAGCAGGACTTGGGGGCAGCATGGGGAAGCATGTGGGGGATTATGTGTGGGGGAGCCACATGTTTTGGGGTTCTGGCCTGCAGCCCAGAACATGGGCTGCCCCCAGGGCAGGGCCTGATCCCTCAGAAGGAAAGGTGGTGGAGAGGCCTTCCATCCGTCTGTCTGTCTGTCTGGGTCTCTGACTGACTGTATCTGGGAGGCACAATGTCCTCACTATGTTTGCACCTGGAGCCAGAGGCAGACCCAAGGCTGGCGAGGAGGGGCAGGTGGGCTGGCAGGAGCCCAGGGTAGGGACAAGGTGTGAGGGGCAGGTCCATCTGGCCTCAGATACTGGAGCAAACTGGCCAGGAGAGATGGGCCTGGACCTTCCTTCCTGCCCTCTCTGCCTGCCACGGCATTGCCAGCACCCAGCACGTGGGTGAGCCAGCGTGGACAGACCCCATCGGCTGCAGCCTCTCACTCTCCCGCCCCACCTGCACGCCCAGCTTGCTCCTCCTTCACTGACCTCTCCTCCCAGAGCAGCCCAGGTGGCTTCCAACTGGCTGCTTCACATCTGCTCTGTGCCAAGGAAAGTAACAGGTTAAGCTTGTTCTAACTTGTCCTGGGAGGCACCCCCGTGGGTGCACAGGGAGCTGCCCCCTGGCCCATTGGCTGCCAGGCTCCAGGGGAGGCCAGGGTGCTGCTGTAAGTGGACGCTGTCCTCCATCCCGCCCATGCTCTTGCGGTCTCCTAAAGGCAGGACTTTGGCCATCCTGGACACCCTATGGAGACACTTGGCCTTCCTCCCGTCCAGCTCCTACTGGCTCTGCTCCTGGAGGAAGACAGTCGAAGCACTGCTGGGGGCAGAGGCCTTCTCTATGCTCTCAGGAGGGGGCCCTGCCAGAGGCCAGCCAAACTGGGGTGGGGAGGTGGATGGTCACTTTGGCTGAGGTCCCGGGCGAGTGTCTGCTGGGGCCCTCTGACCTGTGCGTGCTTTTTGATGGGCCGAGAGGAAGTTACTCATCGTCCAGAAACCCAGCTCGGGCAAAGGACAGAAGGCACTCAGGTCTCTCTGGTTATCCAAACTCTCCATACCCACCACCTCGACTCAGAACCAAACAGCCTTGAGTAACCAGATGTCCCTGCCACGGAGGAAACCAAGAAGTCTGAACCACAGTTGATACCCTTGGTGCAAAATTAGTGTCCCCAGGGGGCACTGCCAGGGTAAGGCTGTGTGGCAGGGACCTCCCAGGATGGTGGTTCCCCACAGGACTTGAAACAAAAGCTGAACTTCTTGCCATGATTATTTTTTACATCGTGACCCCTCTGAGCTCATCCCCTCCTTCCCTCCTTCTGCTTCAGTTCCACTGGACACTTTGCACTAACATCATCCCTGCATCACCACATAGGTGATCAGTCACTCTGTAAGATCAATGGTGTGAGAAGAGGGAATGCAGATGGCTGGTGTTAGAACTGCCCCTGGGGATTAAGTGGTCACTCTGAGGAAGGGCTCCCCTACTGGCTCAGATGGTAAAGAATCTGCCTGCAATGCAGGAGACCTGGGTTCAACAATCCCTGGGTCGGGAAGATCCTCTGGAGAAAGGAATGGCAACCCACTCCAGTACTGTTGCCTGGAGAATTCCATGCACAGAGGAGTCTGGTGGGCTATAGTCCATGGGGTTGCAAAGAGTCAGACATGACTGACTGACTAACACTTTCAAGAGGAAGAAGCCATTTGCCAAGAATGGCCAAGCAGAAAGAGGAACCTGATGACTGCAGACAGGCCATGCCAGCCTAGAAGGCTGACATCTAAGCCTTTAGGTGAGAAAAAGAAACTACTAAGCCACTGTTGAGTCTAGTTTCCATTACAGAAGTAAACGCATTTCCTAACTGATCTGGGGGCCAGTCAGTTCTGACCATGCACATCCCCATCCCAGTGGCAGAAATACCAAGATTCAGCCATGCTGAGGCCCTAGAGTGAGCCCCTGTCCTAGGGGACTGCTCTGCGAAGCCCCATGACCTCCCCTCCATCAGGCAGCTCATGCGGCTCCGTCCAGGACCCCTCCTGCCTAGGCTTAGTGGCAAGGCTGTCAGCTGCATGGAATCTCAGCCCTGGCCTCTGGCCTCCGGCCTCCATCTCAAGCTGCCCAGGGACACAATTGAGTGTCACAGGAGACCCACATGCTCACGGAGAAGGCAAACCTGAGTGACCTGGGAGGAAACCTGTACCTTTCTCTGGCTTACCAGTCAAGGGGCTTTCTAAAGCATGACTTGGCTCTGTCCACTTCTGCAGATGCGTCTCCTTACAAACAAACAGCAGCAGACTGGCTTACTCACTCTGTGCTAACTCGCTCACTGTAGCCCCCATCAGTCATGGAGTAGGTGGGGACACCGGGGCATGGAGAGTGGGCGGCTTCTCTCTCCCTCCTCTGACCTTGGCTGGCCCTGCAACAGAGCCAGGGGCTGTCGCACGTGGGACTGGGTGTGTCCCCACATCACCCGGGCAGCCCACTCAGGGCCCGCCACCGCGGCCCCGGCCCAGTCAGCGTGAGGAAGACTGGACTCAGCCCTTCCTCCTCAGGACCCCCTGAGGCCCCAACACAGCACCCAGCCAGTTCCTTCCAGCAGAGGGCTCTGGGACTTGGACCCTAGACTTCTCAAAGACCCTCCAGAGTGGAGTTCTTCCCTCAGGTTGCACAGGGAATCGCCAGAAAGAATCACAGGTTCCAGACCACCCCCAGACTTGGCCAGAGTGAGTTTCTGGGCCAGCTCGAGGGTATGTGTGTGACTGTAGAGGAAGCCAAAGCCACAGCCCCCCCGAGTGCCCTCGGTCACAGCCCGCCGGCCTCGATGCTCAGAGTTGATGGCCCCATGAAGTTCTCGGTGTGTGTGCTCGGGGTGGCCATGTGCGGCTGGGCTCTGGCTCTGCCCTTCCAGCCCCTGGTCTCCACTCCCAGGGTCCTGCCTCCTGCAGGACGGTGGACCCAAGGGTGCAGAGAGAACCCTGCCAGGGCCAGCGCTGACCAGGTGGCTCTGGAAAGAGCATTCAGGAGCCTCAGGGTCTCAGAAACCCCTTCAGAGCAGCCCTCGACTTCAGAGCACTTTTCCTGCAAGTTGGTTTTAAATGAAAGGAGGCGCTGAGGGCAACAGGCCAGCACTGCCCTCTCCCAGGTGCTATGATCTAATTCACTAAAGGCATCAGGAGCGACAGCGCCGGTGGAAACGCGGCACCCGGCCTGGGGCTCACCTCGCCGGCACCCACCATGCCCTGTCCACTCACAGGACAGCTGAGGGAAGGGCACCCAGGACCAGAGACACTTCCCAGCTGCCCTGCCCTCTCACCACCTTCAGAGGATGGTCTAGACCACAGTGACCCCACAGAGTTGGCAAAGTGGGCCAACTCCCTTTGGACAGCACATCCTTGACCTCCCCCATGCCCACACCCACACCTCCTCTATCCACCATGTGACTCCCATCGCTACCTACACCTCCCCGCCCTTGGAATAAACACTCACCCAGCCCAAATCAGTACCCCTGCTGTGAGGCTTGTCATCTGGACCTCAGGTGTGCTCTACCGGCCTGCCGTGACCCTGCTCATCTGCCAGGTAGGCTTTGAGTTCTTTCCACGCTTCCTCACCTGCTTACAGGCTGAGCTGTGCTAAAGCATGAAGCCTGCAGGAGAGGGGCTGGCCATCTGTCCATCCACAGCTCCTGTCTAGGCAGGCCAGGACACACCAGGGAGGTGGCAACTGATGACCACACACCGCACAGACCTCCTGATGGAACCACGCTCCAGTTCACAAAACCTTGCCCAAACAATAGCGCTCAGCAGCCCTTCTGCCCACCTCTCACAAAGTGCCCTTATGTGCACTATCCTCACTGCCCGGACACTCGTCCTCCGGTGCCGAGTGCCAGCCCCAGGGCCCCACCCTGAGGACCAGGGGCTCCATCGCAACGGTGTGGCCACCTTCTGCCAGTCTCACCACCTAAGATTCTTCAGGTGGGCTGTTCACTTGTTCACCAAAGATGGTGAAGCCAGACTGCCTGGGTTCCAGCTGTGTGACCTTGGGCAGGTTCCTTACGCTCTCTGTGCCTCAGTCGCCTCATCTACATTGGGTAGTGACAGGTCCTGCCCCATGGTGCTTTGGGACAAGCAGATGAGTGAGTGCTAGGTGCGTGCATCCATTGAGTCTCATGCCCATTGCTGCTTTTCCAAGTTGAGAGCCAGTCCCAAGTGGTGCCCCCAACTGTATCCCTGCCCACAGAGCTCAGCACACAGCAGGTGCTCTGCAAACAGCTGCTGAGCCAAGAGCTCTTCCCCCGCCCCCCAGGACATACAGGGACTGACAGATAACCAGGACAAAGGACTCCCGAATCCCATGGGCCAAGGGAGGAGCTGTGGAAAGGAATGCAGAAGGGCACTGGCACTGTGGGAGGACCCCTCACTGTCCCTGTGCTAACTCCCCACTGCATAAACCTCAAGACGGTGGAAACTTCACTGTTCCTGAAAATGGGGGACTGGGGGGATTCCAAGGGACCAGGTGCTGCTGCTATTAGCAGAAGTGTCTGTTTGGGGGTGATGTTTGTAATCCCCAGCCTGGAAACACTGGGGGTTGCACTTGGCCCAACAGACTGTGACCCCTACTCTGCCCACGGTGCCCCGATCCCAGGGAACCCTGGACTGATGGCTGCAGACAGGCCAGGAACTGGGGTACGGTCCTGCAGTCCCAGGGAGCCGGGGCAGCACCCCAGCATGGACATCCTTGGCATCCTCAGCCAGGCCAGGCTGGTGCCTCCACACCCAGGAAGTCACCCCCACCCTCCGTACACCCCACAGGAGAACCACGACCTTTCTGCCTGGTCTCCGGGGGCCCAGCCTGCCAGGGCCCAGGTCAGCAGCAAGGGCAGGTGAAGTGTGCGTGGGGGGCTTACCTTGTCATCCCCGTCGCTCTCGCTGTCGCACTGCAGAGGGGAGAAAGAGAGAGGGGAGTCAGTGTCCCACAGGCAGGCTGGATGCTAGTAGGTGAGTGTGGGCTGGGGGCAGGGAGGGCCAGAGGTGGCGGCTCGGGCAGAACCCCACCCTGACCTGGGGCCTCAGATTTGGGATGGGGCTGTCCAGGAGCTGGGAGGGATCTGGGGGCCCCTGGCAAGCTCTGGGTCAGAGCTCCATTGAGACCCTGCTGTGGGGGCAGGGCACGGGTGTAGGCGAGGCAGAGGTGAGACAAAGGAGGACATGTGACCGGGGAGCCAGACCAGCCACCGCCGCAGGCCCAGGGGGGCCCAGAGCCACGAGGTAACCCCAGGAAACACATGGAGGAGGCCCCACTCCCCTCTGGTCCCCTCCCAGGTGCTGAGCTCCCTGGGTGGGGCGGGGGGGGGTGCGGCGAGATGAGAGGGGCTCCTCAGTGGCTATGCGGCCCACGGACAAGGGCTCAGGGGGGGAGACGCCAAAGCCCAGCCTTGGAGCACCACCAGGGCGGGGGCAGGGTGGGGGCGCCCGGGGCGCCTGCTCCCACTGCCCGGCCCCTGCGGATGCCCCAGTAGAAACCACTACACACGGGAGGGCAGCTGGTTAAGGAAAGACTGTGACAATCGTGTAAACATGTCTTTGTTTTCAATTCCCAGTAAGCATAGAGCTCTAAAAAGAAAGGCTGCTCTAGAAACCACAGCAATTTTCCCCCAAAAGAATATAAAGGAAAAAGAAGCTCTTCCCACAGCTATAATTGTGACATGTTTGTGTCAAGTGAACTATACCGCTGAAAATAAATCTCCCTGGAACTCACAGGAGGCTGATGGGACCCTGGCAGACATGTGGGGGTGCTCCCCAGACACATGTTGCTTCTGGGGGGGGGGTCTACCCCAGACCCACTCAGCAATGGGGCACACGACCTCCATGCCCGGGGCTAAGGGCTAGAGTGGTACAGTTAAGAGTTCACAGAGTTGTGCCAGCCTGCCTAGGGCTTCACTGTGGTGGGAAAGTGACCCTGGGGACAGTGGGGACCCCAACCTGTGGCAGCAGGGATGGGCATCTGGGGGGATCTTCCTGAAGCTGAGAGCAGCTGCATGGACCCTCTGCCCCCCAGCCTTGACGTGCACCCTGCAGGCCTGATCCGAGACCCCTGGGGGGTGGGGGTCCCTTCACAAAAGGCAGAAGGGGCTGTGCTTCCTGGCTGGACAACCACGGCAAGAGGCCCCTGCCCCTCGGGGCTGGCTGACACCTGGGAGGCAGAGCAGGAAGGTGAGTGGCCTGAACATGCAGAGTTTCACGTGCAGAGCCCGGACTGCGTGCAACCATGTGACCGGCACTTCAGGAAAGCAGGGTGGAGGGACCAAGGGGTCGCTGCCTGTGAGGAGCAGGGCCTGGAGAAGGGCTGGCATGAACTATCTCTGATCCTGCAGAAATAGCGGAGCTACCGGAGACCCTCAATCAGGCCTCTTTATGCTTAATTAGCGGCACGGAGCCCCTGAGGTGGAAACTGCAATCCCATCAAGCTATCAGGAGGCTGGGTCTAGGGCACAGCACACCTGTCCCTCGGCCCCCCCCGGGAAGCACCCCCAGGCCCGGGTTCACAGCCTTCCTGCACCTTCGGACGGGTCCACTGGTGACAGCTAAATGATCTGACATTGAGGAGGGGGTGACAGTGCCTTCCAGCGAGCGAGCGCATGGAGCCTATAATTAACCAAACAGCTCACCGTTCTCAGCCAGCACAGGCTGCGTCGTAAATGAATTCACGTTATTAAGTCCTACTGAATTAATGTTTAACTGCAATAGAGTCGGAATTGAATGAGGCAATTAATCAGGACAAGGAGGGAAAGAGAGCCGCATCTGTCTTGCGGGAACTGCCTGAGCGAGGCGACCTTCACGGGGCCGGGCTGGGCGGCCCTGGAAACTGTCACCCTGGTGTGGGTGGGGGTCCAGGCAGGGAGCCCACAGAGCAGGGGCCAGACCCTAGGCAAGTGCTGGGTGTGCAGGCAGCGCAAGACACCGGCTCTGGGGCAGATGCCTGCTCTGAGCTGTGCAGCCCTGGGCAAGTGCCACGACCTCTCTGTGCCTCAGGTGTGCAACTGTAAAACAGAAAACGGCCCACCTACAGGACTATTGTATGGCTTATATGAGTGAATACGTGCAAAGCTCTAGGGCTGGGCACATACTCATTACCATATACAGTGAGGTGGTATTTTCACCACCACCACCACTCAATGTAATTACTGTTGTCTTCCAAGAAGGATGAGAATGAGGGCTTCCCTCCCCTTTGGAATGGCTGAAGGCCCTAACCCAGGGAGTTTCAAGGAGGTGTCTCCCAGCCCTGAAAGTGCTGGCTCGTATCCCTCACCATAATGGCTGCTGGCTAGATGGGGAGCCCTATTTGGCCCAGATGAGAGCCCAACGTCAACCCCAACCTTCCCTGCCTGCCCTTAACTCCAATCCCACTCAGCAGGAACCACACCCCTCTACTGATCTACCAGTTCCTCCCAGCATAGTCAAGCCAGCAAACAACGAAGCAGTAGGACCACTCGTCCAGGGCCATCCCCTCTGCCCATCTGTCAGTCAGCCCAGGGTTAGTCTGAGTGCACCTCAGCTCACCCGAGAGACCTCAGGCTATGTCAGCCTGAATGCCTCGGACCCAGGTGACTCTAAAGAGTGGCTGGGGGGAGCTCGTGACCACCCAGCGTAGGTCAGACACATATGTGAGCCCAGGGACCTGCATCACAGAGCCCCCGAGCTCAGCTCCTCCACGCCCCAGGCCACTGTGTTACTCTGCTAACAGATGTGACCTGCAATGTCTGAGGTTGCTGTGTCGCCCATGTTCACGGAAGTGATGTTAACAAGGGACACGTGGTACTTCCCAGGCTTAACTGATGGGCTTCCCTGATCCCCATCCATGGGTGGACAGGCCTTGAGACAAGGCTTAAGAAGCCAAAAGCTAAATGAGGTTTCCATTGTCCTAATGTTTAAAAAAGAATCGCTGCCAACATCTAAAAATCTGGAGAATCCTCACAAAATCCTGCCTCTTACTGGGAATGGGGAGCCACATGCCCAGATGACAGCTCTGCCCAGCGCTAGCAGGCCTCCCTGGGGGCTCCGCTGTTACCCTACCCTGCCTCTCCTGACGTCGAGGGCCAGAGTGCTGGTCCTTGTTACATGCTGGGAACATGGCCACACAGAGGCTTCTGGAGCCTGATCCTGGGGCTCTGTCCTCACTCTTCCACTTATGGTGATGTTGGCCACTCATTTCACTTCTTGGAGCCTCAGTCTCCTCATCTGTAGAGACAGGGCTGAGGGGTTCCACAGTGGGGTGGGCTTGGGGTTCAACAAATCACTGCAGTGAAGTGCTCAGAACAGCAGCTGACTGGCAGGCTGGGCTCTGTAACTGTGAGCTGCTGCCACAGCCATCACCTCCTTCACTGTCACTGAATGAGCTTCACCTTCATCACCTTTGTCAGTGTTGTCACCATCACCACGGTCGCTTTCACCCTCGCTGTTGTCTCCATCATCACCCTTGTCACCTTCGCCATCACCACGATCTGCCCCAGCCCCTTCCTGCATGTTATCTGACCAGCACTTGGAGGCACCCAAGTCCTCCTCCGGGCCTGCACACACTCGGCACCCCCTGACGGTGCCTGCTCCCCTAGGGCACCTGCACAGGAGGTCAGCGGGGCTCAGCCCCATCACCGAGTCTCTTCCAGAAATCTGGGCAGCTATCTGCATGGGGTGAGCGCCGCTGATCACCCCCCACCAACTGACACGGTCGTTCAGCAGCCACAGAGACTGGCCTTGTTCTCTCAGCGTGAACATTAATTACCGTGTCACAGCAGCGCTGAGGAAGGCTGCTGGTCTCCCACTCCTCAAACAAAGGCATGAAAAATTCATGGGCAGGGAGACCTCGCTGCTGAGCCTGTGCTCCCAGCAGACGTTCTAGAATCCAGGGCTGGCCCAGAGTCACCTGTGGGGACAAGTAGGGTCCCTCCATGTACAATGGAGACAGAGGATCTACCCTAAGACCACGCCTAACCCAGCCTCCATCCAGGGGTCAGAGAGGGCTGAGGGGCAGCGTGGCCTGGCGCCTGGGGAGGAGGGGGAGATGGGTCAGGTCCCTGTCCCAGCAGCAGGACCTATGCTGTGCAAAGGCCCTGGAGGCCCTGCCCTCAGCCCTGCCAGGGGGCGGAGGGGGGCCGCACCCCCCCACACACCAGCCTGGGCTGGGCTCTCCGTGGGCACTGTCATCTGCAAAGGCCTGAGCAGCTGCCAACTGGAAGTCAGCAGGATCCATGGTCTGCTTGTGAGTGGAAGGCGACAGGACCTTGTGTCCAGCCCACCTGGGTATGAGGGGAGGAAGACCTGAGCCGCTGGGCAGTGGTGTTGACCCCTGCCCTGGGCCTCAGCCGTAAGGCTGGAGGTGTGCTGCGGGGCACCTGGGGAAGCTCAGGGGACACCGGTCCTTGGTGCGGGTAGTGCTCACTGGGCGTGTTCTTGTGTGTGTGCCGAGACATGGGGAGTCGCACTCTGAGGTTTCTCAGACATGAGCACCTGGCATCCAATCCAATGGGCGCTCTACCTGACGGTGTCTTGCCAGGTGCCCCAGCGAATGCGTGGCACCTGAAGAGTCAGACCTGCCATGGGGCCACATGGTGCCATGTGTGCATGGGGCCCAGGAGTGGTGTCCATGTGGGCAGTACACATCTGTCCTCGGGGCTCCCGGCCTCCTGTGGCTCCACACATCGGCCCCAGCTTATTAAACATCCTGCTTGTTGGAGCCACCTTGGAAGAACTGGGAGAGAAGAGCGGAAATCCATCCTTCTCTGCTGATAAAGGCGGAGGTGTCACCTTCATTTTTGTTGCAAACGCTCCATGGGGAGGCAGAACACATTCCAGTTAAGCGATTCAGCAATACGGAGCCAGATGAGGAGTGTGAACCCCAGGTGGGCAGCAGCCTGGGAGGAGGCTGCACTGTCTGGTTACC